TATACAATTATACCAGCCAAATTGAATGAGCCAGCTGCTAAGAGTGTACAAAAACGATTGTCAATAGGCATACTTAGTAAGAGGGTTTATTATGGTTGTGTCTTTATCTTTGTGACTATACTCTATAATATACTGTAGCAAGTAATTTTAGAACAATTCTGCAATATTTACAAGAGTTCTTTAAATTAAACTTCAACTGGAACTGCAAGTGCTTACACAGCACACAGCATTTTCACACACTACGTGACCATTTACGGTGTTGGTAACGTGAGTTTATACTTACTTATTACGTTAAAGGGGTATATCAGTTAATATATATAACTGTAGACTGGGCAATTTGACGTAAAATCTCATTGAGTTACGAGATACACTGAAATCAAATAGCGGAGATCGAGGAGTGGAGAGTTACGGGTGTCAAGAACACCCAAACATCTACATATTCAGGGCAGATGGCAAATTCAACACAAAAATGTATAGAATAATATTTTTATCATCTATATTTTTCGAGACAGACTTTTGCAATCATATTATTTTACTGACTACATATGTATGCATTAGAAAGCCTGGCCATTGGTGCGTGTAAAATCGGATAATATTGATATTTAAATATATTCAGCCGCTTTTACCAATGGCAACGAGTATTATGCAGCTGACTGCTGCCGTCTGCTGGGCGCTAAGTTGTGATTGTTGTTCGTGTGGGGGCTCGTGTGGGATTGTGTCGGGGATTTGCCATTGAAGCTTGAATTTGGTGCTTACGCTAAACTGGCGCGTTAACAATTGCGTGAAGCCAACTTGGCTGCTGTCTTGTTGGCCGTGCAGTTTTTCCGTTGTTTCCGCCTTCAGATTCAGTTGCAGCAGCACGCTCGAAATGTCAGCTGTGCGTGGGCACCAAGGACAATGGCTGGGAAAGGTTATGGGCCACGATATTTTCATTTGACATTTTTGGCAATAGTTGGAACTTTTTCGTATGCTCAAATTTATGCAGCATTTCATTTCTCTACAGCGCAATTTGTCAGCCCGAAACCCGAACGATAAAACACAAATCGCTCGACTGGCATACCAAAATTATTTGGATAATGGAGCAGACCGAAAGAAAAAAAAATTGAAAAAGATGAGGATGGCCTAAAACGAGGGAGCCCAAAACAAACTAACATGGAAAACATATTCGGTTTGTTGTTATTTCTCAGTTCAGTTGATGACATGAGCAACAAAATCGTAAATTCGATCAAGGAAATTAGAAGGGAACACATTCAAAATGGAGGACGGCGCCAAGTAAAATCCAAGCAAAAAGAGTCCATGCACAGTGGTCAAAACTAATACAATAATTCTACATATGATGTTTTGTATCAACAATTGATGTTAAGATAGTATCAAATATTTAATAAGAAAGTGTCGATACCACCAAAAATATCGAATTTACTAATATGGTTAATTTAAAAGTTTAAAAATAAAGTTTTAACTGCTATTTGATTATTGTCTTTCAGATTAAACATATTAATATAATAATTTATTACTAGCTGAAAAATATGCTAAAAATTGACACAATCTTAGATCGATTCATACATTCCTATAGATATATCTAAATACTGTAACCTAAACATATACATATATAAAATATTTATTCAAAACACTATAAAATACATTTCCTTTGACCCGAAAACATTTGAGGAAAAACCCATCAAATATAAAAAATAATAAAGATTTTCATCAAGTCGACCACTGTGCGGCATTTCAGTAGCTTAAACTCGCACTATATATGCGCATGTAAACATATAAATACATATATACACATATATACATATATATATGTGTGCGTGTGTGTGTGCATTGGAATTTAATTCAGCTATGAAAGGGAAATTTCACACATTCGATTGAGTGTAACGATTGTACGGGGAGTATGTGCCTGATTTGAATGGGGCTTTGGTCTTTATCGAAATTGAAAAGAGAAAAAGAAGAAGCGAGAGAGAGAGGGAGATGATAACTTATCCAAACGTATTTGTAATTTGTCTCTTTTGTTTTTCTTTCGGTCTCCGTTTTCTTTGGTTTTGTTTCCATAAGGGACTCTCAGGAATCTGTGGCATTCAAAGCCATAAATTGATTAGCCTCAATTTATACATATGTGTGTACATATATCGACAAACGATACGTTACATATCGTATTTGTGTATTTATATATGTATACATATATGGCATTCACGTAGCCAGATAAATATATCAATATTGATCAAAAATTAATCATACGCAACGTACGACAATCGGCATGTGGGGCCGTCTAGACTAAAGTCGTTTCCCGCTTTGGCTCATTCCTTACATTTAATTTCAACCCACTTTAGGCAATTATAATTCATATTCTTTTTATAAATTTGCACAATTTCATTAACGCCGGGCCGAAAACTACGCTGCCATTAGATCTGAAACCATAGCAATTAAAACTTTATTTGTTAAAAGGCGCTGTCAAGGAAGAATACGCCGAGAGAGAGAGTTTCACACTCGGCTGCATAATTAGCAAGCGAAAACCTCGCGGACAACTTGGACACGCAGGCGGTCAGGGATAGTTTAACAAAAAATGTGACAAAAGGAAAATAAATTATGTTCCACGTTTCCTTTCTGCCTGAATTTGTGACTATTAGAAAGAGAAATGAAAATGTGACTAGTGGATATAAATAGATAGATATAATTGTCACATTATCACTATGAAATAATAATGGATGCCAAGATGCTTGTGATTATCAACACTATTTTCATTTATCTGGGTTATTATAAAAAAAAAAGAGAACAAATTTTAATTACTGTAAAGTCCGCCGCCATAATGATCAAAAATTATTAAAAATATAAAAATCATCATCATTAAAAAAGCTATAAAAATTTTAACATTTAACAAAAATTATTATCATTATACAGTAATTATGTAAATATTACTGAAAAGGCAACATAATTAGCTAATTGTTCTATAGGGTAGATTACAAACAGACCCTCTAAAATAAAAACCTTTGTTGATGATCATAAATATATTTCACTTTTGGTATATGTATACTCAATAAATATTTACGTATATCGTAATGGTGTCATTTATTAATAATTAATAATATTATTAATTACATTCAACTCAATTAAGAGGTAATTGCGTTAAATTTGGAAACATAATATTACATCACAATATTGTAGAAGTTTCAATATGGGGCTAAGAGCTTGTATACAGCTCTTACATATAATTTAATCCCAGTGAATTTGCATCTTAGCTCCAGGCTTATATTTTTTTATTGTGTTCTCTAATTCTCACTTGGCAAGAGAAACAAAGATAGCTGATGAACGTAGTCCAGGGTATCGGTAATTAAGAGCGAGTCGGTTACGGAGATAGAGTTCTTATGATGGACAGTGGAGAACGAGAAAATCGCTAAGAATGAAACTAGACGATATTACATGAGAACCATATTAAAACTTTGCTATACAAATATGTATATTTTTACAAATTTGATTATATTACAGTTCCAATAGCCTCTATAGCGAAAACGTCTCACATATTGCATAAAATAATGATTTTGAATTTAAGAACAAAGAATCGGATGCAAAGAGTTTCATTGTCGACTGCTTTTCTCTTATCATACTGCTCTTTCTTTTGCCTTTAGTTTTGCATTCTCCTTTCATGTTTTGCATAACACAGTAATTAAAGCCAGCAGGCGCAATAATCAGAAATGAATGAAAACTATTTAATTAAACTATCTCGGCAGTTAGCTTCTGGGCTAGCAAAGCAAAGCAAAAAGCACATTTGCATTCGCCTTGGCACGGTGAATACTAAATATAAAGGACGATGGACGTTAAATTTAACAACTTTGGTAACTACAAAATAGTTGTGTTTTACGTAGGCTCAACATAACATATATGTGTATACATATACGGAGCTTAGGTAAGTAGCAGACGTATACGTAATGACACACACCTGAAGCGAACGCATATTCACCTTTGGACGCACATGTTTGAACACCTACGAATGCCTTCAGATTTTATTGAGACATTATCAGGCAAAACAAATGGTAGACAATTTGCAGCTATGGAGCTGGCTTTTACGGTCGCCTACCACACAAAAAAGGGCGTCTCGCTATCGCCAAAGCGGGGGCGTGGCTGGGGATGGTCATAGTTTCGCCCGAAGCCTGTATACAATAAATTGCGATGGCCATGTATGTATGAGCGATAACCGTGCGTATACGCAATATATGCCCAACATTTCGTTGTTTCAGACAATCCGGCCATTTTTATGGCTCATAACCGGAGACATTGGCATGTGAATGACAGATATTTGGTTTTCGTCTGTCCCAATCCAAGTCATGGCCACGGCCATGACTACGGCCATGTCTATGTCTATAGCAAGATAAAATGCAGTCCCTTTTAATCGCCTCGCCTGGCCAATTAATTAAATACAAATTAAATAAAAATCAAAATATCCAATAACTTTGCCACACTAAAGCATATCTAGCCAGAATGTCTGAGACAACGGAAACAGAAAGCCAATAAATGTTTTCCGAAGACAAACAATGAATTTCGCTGTTAGAATTGTCAGTAAAAGCCATATAAGGTTGCTGGCATGAGCTTGACCGATTCAAAATATAAGTAAAGAAATATATAGTAAAGAAAGATGGCTTAGACTGTCACAAAAGAGCTGAAGTGACAAAATTAAAAGCACATTGGGATTCTGGGAAATTCTGAGCTGACGAATCTTATCCATACAATTACGCAAATTTGTTTAGCACAATTTACAAAACAAATTTTAAATCAGCCGCTTGCACTTATCGTTCGATGAGCAGAATCTATCGATAAAACCTAATGTTAGCTAACATAATCACTGAGCGAAAGAAAGAGTGACATTGTACAGCATATTTAATGTACGATCTCTTAAATTTTAACATGACAATAGCACATGCATATATGTATATGTCAAATGTATATACAAATAATGTGTTTCCTTTTTAATAAAACTAGTTAATACTAATTATACATATGCATAATTACTTATACTATATGGAAACCTAATTCATGCACTCCATTGTGTCTTTAGGATTCTCTTTGCTTTTTATGAACTGTGAATTCTCTTCGAGCTCGCCATTTAATCTTTTCAGCCTTCTCGCCTCCGATATGGCCTTGTAAACACGATTTTTAGCTTTCTGAAAAGCCAAGCGAGCGTCCTTCTTATAATCGTCAAATGTGTAGCCTTCCCTCTTCTGAGACTCTGCAACGAAATCAGATGATATCAGCATCTTAAGCTCATATACAAAATTACTTCATTTACCATATAACGCTGTGTTCAAATTTACATAATTGCTTAAGCCTGCTTTCGAGCTGTGTCCTCCATAATTCATTTCCATTAACAATTTCTGGTCTAATATCCGTCCAATATTCTTAACAATTCCACTAGGATTTAGAAGATTCTTAAAAAGCTCAGTCTGTAAAAGCAAACGAAATTAAAATTAAAATGTGAGCGTATTCTTATGTTACATTTGTTCTCTTTGAGCTACTTACATATTTCTCTCGATCATTTGCAATTTGCATATCAATAACTTCCAATGCTTCTTTGTGCTTAACAGGAAAATCATTTGGCTTCGTCACCGTCTTCATATTTTCACAGATTTTATCAACACGTGCCAATATCTTCGTATTTACATTAAGTAGAAAGTCCACTTTGCGTTCCAGGCTGCTCAAGCGGTCATTTAGATTATGGCATTGGTTTGATCCTCCGTCTAAGGGATATACTCGCTGCATTTTTTGCTGCTCCTCGACCAATTGTTGACTGTCAACCATTCCGAATATAACTTCCTCTTCAATGGGCATCATATCGGGACATATAACTTCATTCTTAACGGATATATTCATATCGATGTCGAGCGGATCATCAAATATATCAAATTGCTGTCTTGCCTTTTCTGCCGAACGGCGAGCATTCCGGCCACTCCCACTCATATTAAGAGTATCTAAGCTTCCTATGATATAGTTGATTGAATTTAAAATATATTCAATAGATAGAATACTCACCTACGATATAATTTGATTCGATAACGAAACCTCAGTTTATTTCACCAGTTTTTTGTTGTCCGCTTTCAGTCTGTTCAACTTATTTTTATTGGTAGAAAGCAAAAATTATTACATATATTATTTGTCAATAAGCATGACTTTTATTGACAACAGATGGTATGGCCGGAGCCAATTTGTTCCACTACGCCACATCGTACGTCTAACTATACAATGTGGATTTAAAATGGTGTATGCGTTTTTGGCATATATATGTACTGCATGTAGGATTATAAATAACTTTAATTTTTAATCGACTTGTTTAACTAATTAAAATTATTTGCGCGTATTTTGTTTTGCCTAGATTTAAACAGCTGTTGTCAGTCAGTCGATATATTGAGGCGGCTTATCGATAAGCGTGCATTTAGTATTTTCTCAGTAAGGTCACACTTGTGAAGATGTTGCCTGCACGTTTATATTCTTCCTGTCGTTTATTTTCAACAAATTTAACAAATAAAGCTGTGAGCAAAAATGCGGTTGGTGGAATTAGCCTGGTAGATAAAGTTGCCGTTACCAAAAATGGAAAAACAATTGTAGCCTGGCATCCAGATACTCCATTTCCCTACGAGCACACAAAACCACTGCCACAGTTCGTCGAAAAGCAAAGTTCTGATGTTATTAAGGAAACTGCATTGCAGACGGCAATGACTGCTTTTAAGAACAAGTTCCCCGAGGTTGCACGTCAGGAACTTATGAAGTTAACACACACTACAAAGCACCGTTGGTTCCCGCGGGCTCGCGACAGGAAGGCAAAAAAGACGCCTATGGACCGGCCTTACTTGTAAACGCTATGTTACATAAGCGCTTTGTATATGCAATAAGAGTATGAAAATGAATAAAAGTGGTGTTTATTAATAAGAATATTGAAATCAATGTATAAATAAAAAGAATACCCCTCCCTATGTCGACTTTCATCTTCTTATTTTGATACTATCAACTATAAATCAGATTGGGAACGAATATAATAAGAGCCAAAACAAAAACAGCTGTTTGCAATAATAACATTTCCAACATGAGTATTACAGCAACGTGGGTGATAACAGTAGCCCCAATATGTGCACTGTTAAAATCGTCATCGTCACAAATACATATGAAAGAACTGAAATCATATTTTACCGAGCAGCCTTCGAATTAGTTTTCAAATAATAGTACAAACAAATTATTTTAGTCTATTATATATTTTATATTAATAATAATTATTGGCGAATTATTTGAAGCATATACCCAACATTAGTGATCATCTAAGCCTCGGAAAAAGCTTTAATAGATGAACATAATATTGTTCGAATTGATTGAAGACCACTGTATTATTAACATTCTGCTGGCTTAACATTATGCGCTCATTTTCTGTGAACATACATCTCTCCTCTCATTTTCATTGTGTCTGTGACTTTCAAAGTGGATTGACGTGTTGCGGAAAGTTGAACCGAGAAATTTGAGAGCTAAGAAAGTTGTGAATAGGAAAATCACAAAAGTGCATTGGTTGTGTTGTTTGGGAGAGTGTTTGTGTGTGCATATATGCTAGAAAGAAAAAGAGAGAAAGACAAGTGCAAATCGCAAATAACTAATTTGTTCAATCAACAAAGTCAGACAAAGAAACATAGACTTGTGATTGCAGCATAAAGGCAATATGTCTACTGTGGAATCCTCTAGTTCGGCAGTTCAGCAGCCACCCTCGTCCACATTGCCAATGTTGGGCGATAATCAAGTGAGCACCATGCAAATGCAAATGCAGGCCTCTACTTCATCAGCGGGAGGAAGCGGTAGCATGTCGGTGGGCGTACCGTTAGATACGCAAGGTAGCGGCGAGCCACCAGCTAAGAAGCAGATGCTCGATCCGAACGCAGCCTCTTCATCGTCGGGCTCATTGTCAGGCGGTGGGGGCAGCGGTCCAGCTGGTGCTGGAACCGGAACACACGAGAAACTCGCCTATCGCATCTCGACTGCGCTGTGCTGTGCCGTGTGTTTGGATTTGCCCAAAACGGCCATGTATCAGGTGAGTTGATTGTGGCATGAAAACTCAAAAAAAAAAAAAAAAAAAAAAAAATTAATTAATTAATTAATTAATTAATAAATACGTACATACACCAACGTATGTGCATTCAAATGCATTTGTGTATTTCCGAGTAAATGCATACATACAGCAGTGCTCTCTATGCGTATGCGTGTATTTGTGACATTTCTCTGTATACAAAACAAATCGAGCAAAAGCAATCGAAAACTCAGCTGTAAGTGGTCACTCCCACCTCACACACCGCCGCTGACCCGTTGAGCGCAGCGCACACAGCTGGGCTCGCCAGTTAGAGAGAGAGCGCAAGGCGAGCGCCACAAAGCAGAATGTAAGGGAACTTGAAGAAAAAGAACAGTGTATTTGTGTATTTGCTTGCCTATGATTAAATTACAAGAGCCCATTGCCATTGCCTTGAAAACGACAATGCCAGGCACTTGCACTATTTGGCCTCCAACCTTCTTCGTGCTGCTCACCCATTAACTGTTTTTTGTAAATATATATATACAGCGCACTCGCTCACACGCATTATGGTTACATAGCATGCAGTTCTCGCCATGCTGCTGCACATTTATTGCGTTTTAGGCGAGCAACGACCAAAGCAACCCTGCTCAATTTCAATGCTCACCCCACTGACCCCCACCTTAAAACTATTTGCGCAGTTACATTAACTGTAACACTCTTTTTAACAGCTGCACTACTGCCTTTTCCGCTGTTGCGTCATCGAATTTGTTGTATGCGTTCATTCTTTCTATAGATAAATCTATATGTATGCATATAAATTTGCATAAACTAATGTATAAACATACATTCATATGTATGTCTTTAGAAAATAGCAAAAAGTTTCTCATGGATGCGTTATTTTATTTAATTTATTGTGAAATGGAGCTGTTATGTGTTGTGTTCGTGGCCTATTTTTAGCTGCGTAGTCCGTGCGACCCCCGCTGCGGCGGCGCCATTGCCGACGTCTCGTTTCTCTAAACCCCGCCCGCATTCAAAAATAATGCTAACGAATGAACGTCAGTGTTTGTTTGCTATGTCGACATACATACATATGTACGTAGATACATACATATCTACACACACACATATAATTATGTATGTGCGTATGTATATTGTCATGCAAAAAGCTAATTGCCTGTTTGTCATTTCCTATTCTTTGCTGAATTCGCTTATACATACATCATTCATGAATGCAGTGGATCGTCAGATTTATTGTTGTTGAATTCGGCAACGATGTTATTAATTTAATAAATAATTGTGTCAATTTATTAACAATCAAAGCTTTACGTAACACGTACAATATGTTTGTAGTGACGTTATATACACATATATATTTGTATAAACAACTGAGTGTATATATAGCGTGTATATACATATGTATGCATGTATGTGTTTCTTAATTCTTGTTGTTTTCACCGTTTCTTTTCTAAGCCTTTTCGCCTTTTTTCAATAGTGCTACGTTGACTATCGCAGACTCTCTGGTTTATTTTCCTTCTCTCTCTTTTTCTCTTCACACACACACTGACACTCACAGACACCAGTCATAAATATAACTGCGTCATTGCTTTGGCCCACCAAATAATACATGAATGCATCATAGGTGTCTAATATATTGCTCTTTGTAATTATGTTATAATACAAGTATAATGAATACCAAGAGTTTGATATGAAATCGTTAAATCCAATGATGTTTACATACCTATGTATGTATGTACATAGAATTTTGTCGAAAGCACACACATTGAAAATTTTACACATACATTCACGCACACGCATGCATAGGCTCTTTTTCACTCTCGTTTATTTATATTCACGCTCTCTGTTATTGTTTTGCTTTTGCTGGCAGTTGGTGCTCTTCTCGGTGCTGTTATTGACATTCGTCTCATCCTGCTCGCACACACAGCGTACTTCGTAACATAGTCAGCTGTTTGTGAGCAAAGAAAAACATTTGGTAGTTGGTGAGAGAAAAAAAAACCTACGACGCATTTTCATCATCTTTATTTGACACCAATTGGCATGATTTTTTTTTATGTTTGAATTTGCGTTTTAATGTTGTTGCTGAGAGGAAGGGCAAATTATGAAAAAAAAAATGTGTTGGATGTGTGCAGATTGGTATTGTTGTTATTTGGAGTGACCCGTAATCTAAGTTAAACTTGTTTTTCCAGTTTCAGAGGCAATACCTAAAACCTGTAAATTCTATCAGTGTGCGTTTCCTTTTACCTGCGCTACAGTTGTTTTTGCTGTAGTTGTTGTTGATATTATCGTCTCCACCAGTCACTACTGTTCTCTGTTTTTTCGATGTTGACAATCGTCTCTACTTGGATACACACACACACACACACACACACACACACACACACACACACACACACACCACACACACACACACAGTATCTACCAAAACATTATCAGCTGGGTTTTGTTGTGAGTTTATTTAAAATGGGAGCGACAAAAGTGAGCGAGTGAATGAATACACGCGAGCAGAGAGAGTGAGTGAGTGAGTGTGGCAGTTGAAGAGTTTTAATAATACAAATACAAAATTAATAAAACAATTTATACATATTTTGGGGTTTGCTTTAAACAATTGTCACAGCTGCCTATCGCTTACTCTATGTGTGTGTATGCCATAAATATAGCGTTTGCTACGACATAATGTTTTCTGCTTGAACAGCATTTGGAAGTTCATTCAACCTCAGAGAATGGGAATGCGAATGGAAATGGAAATAGGATTTGGGGTGCAGCGAAAATGCTATCCTGCTCGCACACTCGTCATCATAGGGAAACCTGACAAGAAAGTCAAAGATAAATAACGAACGTGCTCTTATCTCTCAAATAGAAAGATATATACAGGCAGTTGCAAGTATACATGCATATGTTTCTATATATATATATGTATATATATTTATATGTTGCATTGGGTATATCGCACATGTCACTCCGTAAATAGAATTTCCAAAAGATCGAACAAGTATGGAGCTTTTATCACGCTTCGAGATTGGTAATTGACGGATCGTCGCGTTTTCTCGCGTCTCATGGCCCGCATTCTTTGCAAATCCAATGAGAATTGTATAATGGAAACAGCCATCCGGGTCGTCAGATCTGACCTTTTCCAGTCATATATTTTTATTATCTCGCTCTCTCTTTCCGCTCTCTTTTCGACTGATCCCTGGCAATTGGATGGAACACTACCCCTATTCCTACAGTAATGATTTCGTATCATTCATTTCACACACATTTTTTTTTGTAGTCTCCAAAATTGGGAAAAAAATGAATGAAATAAAAATTATGTCTAGTATATATTTCCTTTTATTTTCATCACCATAGAGTCATGGACTTATGGAGTTTTTTTTACGCTCCAGCCTATGCTTAACCGTAGACCATTAACATCTCTTTCTCTATCTCTCTCTCCTCTATATTAACTATTTCTATCTCTCTAATGAATAATCTAGTTAAGTCAACTTAATATTTACATACAAAGATGAAACTGTTTACCAACTTAGCTAACTCTTGTAAGCACACACACACACACACTTTGCCACTAGTATTGTAATTAAATCTTACTGCTAAGTATTTAAAATACCTTTAGCCTATTTGAGATAAATCGTCAGTAACTGTAAACTGTTGATATATAATTGAAATGTACAAATAGAAAAATATGAAAAGAAAACAAAAAAATAAAAGTAATTTCAATAAATTTTGCATCGAGTGCAAATTGTTAAACTCAAAACTGAATACAAAATAAGCGTTTTTATTTCACAAAAAAAAAAAAAAAAAAAAAAAAAAAAAAAAAAAAAAAAACCACAGGAACCACCCATTTAACTATCCATCAATCCAACCATCCAATCATTTCAAAAATGTCTCGCTCCTGCTAATATCAGCTAGTCCGATCCGGAATCCCTCTTCACCAAATTTCTAATATCCTCCCACATTTCACACCCTCCTCATCCATCTTCAATTTTTGCCAAATAGCGTATTTGACTAATAGCAAATTTTTCTTCTTTTTTCTTTAATTGCAGGTTAATTTTTATTCCACTTTTTTTAGTTCTACTACATACATCACACATACGTATATATTTATGCATATGTATGCAGATGTATAAATATATATACTTTTAAATCTTTTAACATATATATCCCTGACATGCGCCCGCACTAAAACCTCTCTGGTTTTCACTCTGCTCTCTTTATTTTAGTGCCAAATGGGTCACCTGATGTGCGCCGCCTGCTTCACCCACCTCCTGGCGGACGGACGGTATGAAACACAAAAGCGCAAATTAAACGACTTGAAAAATTATTTACTGTGATTTGACCAAACACTTAACCTTTCGACCTGCCCAAATTCCCCAATAATCTAAACCTTTCCCCCTTTCTGTCATATATTTCCTGCAGCCTACGAGATCAGATAGCCACGTGCCCGAACTGCCGTGTGGAAATATCAAAGAGCACCGCATCCCGTAATCTGGCTGTGGAAAAGGCAGCTTCCGAATTGCCTAGCGAATGTCAGGTAAGCAAGTATAGACAATCTCATATCCTGGTCTGGACTGACAATTTCCCTTTTCTAATTTTCAGTTTTGCAACAAAGAGTTTCCATACAAATCTCTGGAGCGTCATGAGCAGCACGAGTGTCAGGAGCGTCCCACAAAATGCAAATACCATCGTATTGGCTGCCAGTGGCGTGGACCCTATCACGAGAGTGTGTATCTATGCCAATATATAGAAATGTCTATGTATACCAATAATTCATAAACTTCTTAATCTCTTACAGCAACTGAACACGAACGCAACTGCTTGCATCCCCAAAAATCTGGCTATGAGGTGATGGCCGCCTTGGAGGCCCATGATGTCAAGATCAAAGAGGAAAAGAAAATGTTTAATACATTGATAGATCTGCTGAGCTACGAGAAAATCATATTTAACGGCAAGTGAAGCATCTATAATTCCATTATACTCTTTAATAACCATGGCAATACAGATCTACAGATGAAACCGTATCGCACAGATGAGTATGTGCACAAGCTGTTCTATGAAACGGCCCGTTTCTCAGCATTCAACCAGCAGTGGGTGGTGAAGGCGCGCATCAATAACAGCCAGCGAGATCCGCATCAGTCGAACGAGCGAACCATCACCTATCAGCTAATACTGAAGACGAAAACCAGCACACCAATGAGCATCCATTTCTTTGCACTCAAAGGTCCCTTCTCGGACATGAAGGTCTCCACGCAAATATATAAGCACGAGTTTACGGAAACGGTACCATAATATTTACATTGCAGGGGAATATCTATAAACATACAATTCATCCTCCATTCCAGAGCACTGAGAGTGATTATTACGTGCTACCCTTGCCTGATGGCAACGGCACGGGCTCCAGCGAATGCAATCGTATGCTGGCCAACAAAGGGATTAATTTCCGGTGCGTTAAGTATATGAGCACTTAAATCATATTTATCTCATAACTTTTCTTTACAGTTTACTGATGTTTCTGCTGAATAAGTAAAGCGATCGTTACATGCTAGTAGTACAGATTTTTCAACCTAGTTTAAGTTTGTTGTTTCTAACTCATAAATGTGCAAAAACTAGATATAGCCAAAATATATAAAAATATATATTTTCTATCTCTAAATGTACATGTACTTTCAAATAACTGAAAAAAAAAAAAATTTTTTTTAATTAAATGAAAAGCGAAAAATCATCTTACCCCTTAATACTAACAATGACGATAGAACTGTAACGCGTTAGGTTGTAACTGTGACCTAAGTTTAGATGAGTTTTAAGCTTTATATTGCTGGCAAAAAGAATAAGTAAATAATGTCCCACATATGCGATATATTTAATTGTAAGACAGATATAAATTAATGTAAATGAGACGTTTCCTGATTATGTTTAAATCCCATTCAACGGCATAAACACAGAGCCATATGCATAAATCTACTAATATATAGATCAATATACAAAGAGGACACAGCTACTTTATATGTATACTACGTACGTGATTTATATGTATCGAGTACATCTGAAATGCCATTTGAAAACACTAATTCAACAATAATTTCAATAAATACAAAAACTATGTTAATCCATGATGGATAATTTGTGTGAAGTGTGACTCTAAAAAATATATAAAATATTTAATTGATCTCACTCGAATAAACAAATACAAAATCTTGCTGCTCTCAATGTGCAGTTTGAAATATGATATATATATAAAGCGCACATTTGGAGCTCGAGCCGTAAAAATAAAGCTTACATATAACATAAACATACATATATATCTATAGGAATCTGATCGAAGCAGATTTGAATTTCGTGCTAAATACACTGTAAGAAAACAACACCAAGCTATCTGAACCTAACAGAGTTTATAACGCTTTATGGCTATGATATATAATCTGTACTGTAAAGTCGAAAGCTAAAGAAGGAAACTAATTGCACTGCAGTTCTCCCAATTGCTTTATTTAAAAAGAAAAGTTTATATTTAAAACTCTCTTTAATTGCATTCTGTTGACATCCCCCTTAGTTTATAACGCTTACATTTACATTTATGTGTGTAATATTTATATGCATCGTTAAATGATAAAGATAAACATATATGTATGTATAAATATACATATATTAATATACACATATTAATGATATTTCTTAATAAATAAAATTAACGTGCAAAGGCAATATTATCATGTGTTCAATTTCTTGATACTCTATTCCATGTCCTCATCTTCCATCGCCTGATACCTGTTGCGCACATGATTCGCAACTATCTCACGGGGATTCTTTTTGAAGTTTTTGTCTTTTATTAGCTTTTCGAATGATCGGACTTTGTTTACATATTCGTTGCGTTTCTTCTTGATCTTCTTTTTGGCACTCAATGTCTCAGCTTCTTCCACTGTGATACCATCTTTTTTCTCTTTCTTTTGGGCTTTTACCAACTTGTACATCTCGCCTAGGGATGGCAGCGCATCTCGCAGGGGCTTTAAATCACCTACAACTTTGGTTTTTTCTCTAACTTTGCGTGCCTGCTCTTCCTTTAACTCCTTCTGTATTTCTCCGAAGCGTTTTAGCAATTTTGAGTGTTTTTCTGCTGATTTTTCTTTTTTTGTTATGGTCTTCTTTGGAGAGAGGGTCTTGTGTAGCAATTTATCCTGGCGATTTTCTTTATTTAGTTTCGCCTGTATTTGCTGAACCTTTTGCTTCGCCGCTCCTACAGCACTCTTTGCTTTCGCTCGTATATTTCTTTTAGTTTTTGCCATATCTTTTATTGTTTAATCAAAGAGTGCGGAGTTGAGCGTTTCTATTTTTTTGGGCTCACGTTTTATTTTGTTTTATGATATCGACATTTGATTTGCCCAACAGCTGATATATCGATGTTTTGTAACAATCGATGCTTAATACGATTATAAAAATCACGTCTATATCATAAATAATGTAGGCGAGTACTTAGCTGAGCTATAATTTAATAATGTAATAATTAAATAATAATCTGAGCTGTACATGATTAAGTTATCTTAAGACTTCGTTTTAATAAGGTTTGCTTTCTGTACATCATTCAGTGAACGTGGCGCAGTTACTTGAAAAGTTTTGTCCATCTCTAATATAAATGCAATATTGTTTGCTTGTAAACAGCTGTGATTGCGGTTAAGGTAAATACAAAGTTTTGCCGAAAATGGATTACGATTTTAAGATGAAAACCCAAATGGAGCGAACAAAGGTTGAAGATCTATTTAACTATGAGGGCTGTAAGGTGGGCCGTGGCACCTACGGTCATGTGTACAAGGCCAAGTGGAAGGAGACCAGGTAAGCAAAAGAAAGCTAGCAAAGTATTTTCATTCTGATTCCTGATTTCTGCAGCGATGGCAAGGAATACGCTCTTAAACAGATAGATGGCACAGGTCTCTCTATGTCCGCTTGCCGTGAGATTGCTCTGCTACGCGAGCTGAAACACCAGAATGTTATAACGCTTATTCGAGTCTTCTTGTCACACAATGACCGGAAGGTGTTTTTGCTGATTGACTATGCAGAGCATGATCTGTGGCATATCATCAAGTTCCATCGTGCAGCCAAGGCCACCAAGAAGCATGTGGTTGTGCCACGTGGCATGGTCAAGAGCCTTTTGTACCAGATTCTGGACGGCATTCATTACCTGCACAGCAATTGGGTTTTGCACCGTGATCTGAAGCCAGCGAACATTCTCGTAATGGGGGACGGCAACGAGCGTGGGCGTGTCAAAATTGCCGACATGGGCTTTGCACGACTCTTCAATGCTCCTCTGAAGCCACTGGCAGACCTGGATCCAGTGGTGGTTACCTTTTGGTATCGAGCGCCAGAGCTTCTGCTAGGTGCACGTCATTATACGAAAGCCATCGACATTTGGGCTATTGGATGTATTTTCGCAGAGTTGCTGACGTCGGAGCCTATCTTCCATTGTCGGCAGGAGGACATTAAGACAAGCAATCCGTACCATCATGATCAGCTGGACCGCATATTCAATGTAATGGGCTTTCCGCAGGACAAGGACTGGGAGGACATCAAAAAGATGCCAGAGCACCATACACTGATTAAGGACTTCAAGCGCTCCACCTATTCCGCCTGCTCCCTGGCCAAGTATATGGAGCGTCACAAGATTAAGCCCGACAGCAAAGCATTTCATCTACTGCAAAAGTTGCTGTTGATGGATCCCAACAAGCGCATAACATCTGAGCAGGCGATGCAGGACCCATATTTCCAGGAGGAGCCACTGCCAACGCAGGACGTCTTCGCCGGCTGCCCCATACCGTATCCCAAGCGTGAATTCCTCACCGATGACGACCAAGAGGACAAGTCGGACAACAAGCGCCAACAACAGCAGCAGCAGCAACAGCAGCAACAACAACAGCAGCAGCAACAGCAACAACAGCAGCAGCAACAGCAGCAGCAACAACAGCAACAGCAACAGCAAATGAATCCCAATGAGCCGAATGCCAAGCGCGTTCGGCTATCAGGCGCTGGCAACCAACAGGATTTCCATCATCAGCAACAGCAGCAGCAGCAGCAACAACAGCAACAAATGATCTTCAATCAACAACAAAACTTCCAGCAACGATTCAACTGAAATGCAAGTCTTAAGGAAGTCAAGTCAATATACAATTCGTGTTGGAAAGTAAGCTATTCCATTTGGCCCTTATATATTTACAATAATTTATAGATTTTTTATAACAACTTTAATGTAAGAAAACAATTCACACAAACAAATTAAATGTTCTTAAGCTTAACTATTTCAATAGTCTTTTTTGTGTCCTAGTACCAGCCGCTAAAGCGTTCAATGGCTCGACTCCATTTTTGCATGCGGTTGGCGATCGAATCGAACTGCTTTGGCTGTGGCTCGAAAATACGCTCCACATGGCGGAAGCGTTTGAGATCGTCGAGCGTGTGCCAAATGCCATGATTAACGCCTGCTAGAAAGGTGGCGCCCATTATGCTAGATTCGGAGCAGTCGGCGCGCTCCACGTGCAGACCGCTGGCATCGGCCAAGAACTGGCAAACAAAATCATTGCGCGAGACACCGCCGTCCACTCTGGAAAATAGTTAATGATTGAGGAACTCGAGTCGAATGCTGACGTCAGTGCCTTACTTAATGACTTTCAGTTTGTGTCCCGTTTCGTGCTCCGCAGTCTCAATCAGCTGCACCACACGAAACACGATGCTCTCCAGCAGCGCACGCACCAGGTGCGCTTTGGTTGTGGACGGTGTCATGCCAATGAAGCCACTGGCGGCGCGATAGTCATTCACAGGCGGCTGGATAGGCGTAACCGATATGAAATTAAATACATTGGACTCTATTTCTCTGTGTACTCACACCCAATCCGCTAAAAGCGGGCATAAAGTAAACATCGTTAGTGTCTGGCACTGATTCAGCTATGGCGGCGGTCTCAGCGGGCGATTCGAACAGTCCACAGGATTGGGCCCATGTCACCACCGTTCCAAAGTCGTGGGCAGCACCTTCGATGCAGTAGATCGTGTCGATCTGCTTACTAGCACGCTTCAGCTGCCAAGCTACCAGTGGATACATTCCGCTAATCACAGCCTTGCAATCTGGCCCGGTCACAAGGTTTAGGAACGCGCCTGTACCCATGGTGATCTTCACATTGCCTGTGGCGAAGCACTGCGAGCCCCACATGGCAGCCGTCTGATCACTGAGAGAGGCAGCAATGGGAATCTTAGTGTTGTTCCATTCCTGCCCAAATGCCGAAGGATGCACGTATCCGAAATCCCTGTAGCTATTCTCAACCACGCGAGGCAAAATGCTGGACTATAAGAATGGGAACTATTGAATGGAATCAAAAATAAATGCTCTCCACATACATCGATGCCGAACATCCAGCGCACAAGTGGCGACCAGCTGAGAGTAAAGGGATCGTACAGACCGGTGGCAGTGCTTGAGGTAATATCGGTTATATGTTCTACATCTGGATCAAGACCGTTGCCGGACCGCAGCTTGTACAGTATCCACGAATCGAGTAGCTCCAGGCGCGCCTTTTTTTCGTGCAGTGCCCGCTGCAGTTGCTTGTTGTGAGCAATCTCATAAAGCAGACGTGGCGTCACTTGGCCATTCATCAGCTTGAGCACACTGCCAGCTAAGAAACGCGCTTGTCTGGTCAGCAGGTACAGGGAGTAGGAGAATCCATTCATGAAGCGTAACAAGCAGCTGGAATTCCATTGCTGGACCAGCTCGTCCGCGCGTAAGTCCTTCCACGTGATGAAATTGTGATAGTATTCTTTGGTCCTGTGGTTCCACGTTAAGAATGTGCACCGCTGTGTAGATATTGTGAGGCAGCTGATATCCGCTGGTGTCAACTTTGCGTCTGCAGCAGATTAAAGATAAGCCATTGTATATGTGGGGGGACTACTAATCTCAAGTACTTACTGTGTATCGATTCTCTAATCACCTTGACTATCTTACGCCATAAGCCCTCGGGCTCTATCTCGAAATAGCCCGGCTGTGGATTTAATAGCTCAACCTACAAATATCATACAGTTAAATGGTTCTCAACTTTGCCCGCCGCCACTTAATTAACTCACTGCATCCGCTGCCGACCCCTTGACCGCGCAGTTCTCATCGAGCACGAAGCACCGCAAATACGTCGTCCCAACGTCCAATGCTGCGATATGAGCTTTCGTTTCTGTCATTTTGTAGCCGCCGTTGCCGCTGCTGCTGCTGCTGCTTCTCGGAGCACACTTCGTTATTTACTGAAGCTTAAAAGCCGATCGCTGGCAAACTAAATTTGCGTTGCTCTTTGCGCATAGTCGTTTCATTTTGCTGCCTATCCCCGTAATCAACTACTCTAGTTTCTGATAATAAACGTGACCAGTTGGTGTCAATCATGGTGACGAGTTAATGTGCAGGTGTCCAAGTTCCCACGCAGCAGGCGCTCATTCCATATAACCATGTGACGTCACACCTTAAGTCTATTGCTCTCAAATGCAAAACCTGTAACATTAGTGTACATTACTGTGTATAATTTGCATATCATAAATAGAAGTTGTCTTCATAAGCTATTTGATTAAAATTAAATCTATATCACTCGCCTACTTCGGATTAAACAGGACTTACTTCATTAAGATTTTTTTCTTTGATAAGAGAGTTGCCACATCTTTAGCATTACTTTCTGTAAGCAGACTGGCAGCATAGTGCAGTGCGCACAATTCATAAACATTCAAAATTGTTATCTTGATGGTATAGAGTAACAATAACAACATTTAATACGTTTTCTGTTTGTTGAGATAAGGAGTAGTAAATATAGAGCACTCTATCAACTTGTGGCCCACATGCATCCCAGTCAACAATCACATTCAATTCTTTTTTATAACTTTATTATACATATACATATATAGATATATAGACATATATCAATAATAATATTACTCATTTAAACAACGCTACACGACAAAGACATTCAGTTATAAACAATATATGCACGTAAAGAGTACGAACTATGTAAAAGCTTTCAGAAGCCTCGTGCTGCATAGATAGTAAATACAGTCATTTAGGTACTGGTTTCTAATAGGTACACGTTGTCTCGAGTTGCAGTATAATGTCAAAGGTGCCTCATTTAGAGATATGTATGCCTACAACTACTTATAACAATGCCCCCCATTTCTTTACATATCCGTCGGAAGTATATCCGGAATTAGATATTGACATAGATCCACCTCACTGTTAACAAACTTCACCTTCTTGGCGGTGTTGTCATCGAGCAGCATGCGAATGGCTGGCCATACGGTCGAGAAGATGCCAGGTGCATTTATGATTAGGCAAACGCCCAATCGCTCCGGATAGTGTTTGCCGAGCAGCCAGATAAGATTCTGCACCAGCTGATAGTCCATGCACGCTGTGCTGAACTCAGCCAGATCGAAGACAATGCACAGGCGGTCTGTGACCTCCTCGAAGCACTTTTTGCATGCCTCCTCCAAAATGTAGACAATGAATCGCGTCAACTCGTCAATGTCGCGCGCCGAAGAGCTATGATTTTTGGCTGGAATATAAATGACGGGACGGCCAACGCAATCCCGATGCCGCAAGACCCGTGCCTTGTTCTCCAAGTGGCTGCGGTCCATTTCGTTCAGTTTGGCCACGCCATATGATTCACGCCACTTGTTCGTCTTCAATATGGCCTATAAGGGTGGGTGGCGAAAGGTTAGCCATATGTGCATAATGTGTATAAAAGTCAATGTCAAGATGTAGGCGCGTGGGCGTGAAAATAACTCACTTGGAATGCGTCATCTGTAGTCTTAAAGGCGCGCAGATAACGCCGGAGTGAAAACTCATTCTGATATTGATTTGGGTCTGCGTCAGCTATGAGCTTCATTCGCTGCTTCAGGTCCTTCAGATCTTGCTCGTTAATTGGCGCCAGCTCCTCCGCTGACATATTGAGTCAATTATTTTATTAACGATGGCCTTGGCTGGCAGTAAATCTTAGTTCCTGTGGCAACTCAGTGTCTATTGTGAAATCTCACTTGCTATTCAACGTTCTATCCACCGCACCAACTAAATTGTTGTCCGGAAATTATTTTTTCACTTTTTCCTATTGCGTTTCAATTAAGCTATCGATAAGTTTTAATTTGACAGGGTTGCCTGAGCTTTAAAAAAAGCAGCTGTTACGTTTGAAATTATTATGAAGCGCTTACTTTTGCCACTACTGCTTTTGCTCAGCTCGTTATATTGTCCCACAGATGAAAACAGCTTTACGTACATACATAGATATATGTTTGTATTTATTTGTTTCTAACTGCAATCATTATAATAAATATTAACAAGAAGAGTTACAAAAACGTGTACCAGCATTTATATAAAAATCATACTCTTGTGCATGCATCCACCGAGACGCACGCAGCCAAATATAATAACAAATATTTACCTACACCTACTTATTCAAATGCAGAGATTCCCATTATTGATTAGTTATTGCTTGAATGTACGATCGTTGCTGGAAATACATATTCGTTTGTTCTTATTTTGGTATCATGACACGCGAAATGCCCGGCAGTATCTCTGCCTGAAGTGGACCAAATTCTATTTGTTCGCCATCGACGGTGATGATGCCGTGATTGTCGTACGGCTCCAAGCGGAATGCGCGTACCTGCAGCACCTTTATATACTGGTTGTTTTTCTCAGGCAGATGACTGCCCGTGCTCATGTTGTAGAGAAAGCTGAGCAAGTGTGGACGGCTGATGCCACCGCGAATCAAAACCAAAAATATTTTGCCATCGTTCAATTGGGCTTTGGGTGCAAAGTGGCAATCGATGCCCAGATGAGATTGGTAGATGGCGTGCATCATAATAAATTCGCCCTCCTCCACCAGCCAGCCCGCAGCCTCGGGCAATGGTTCATCAAGTCCCGGCAAGCTGCTACCTGGGCCAAAATTAGGATAGCCCTGCTCCAATTTTGTGCCCGTCGAAATCGACGGTTCAGTGAATTCGCTGTCATCCGCCACGCTGTGATAGATACTCTCTGATATGGAATAATAGCAGCTGCGGCGTGAGCCGCCCGACAGCCAGCTGTCGCAGCGCGAGCGGAATGATTGATTAATGGAAGTCTCCAGCGAAATGACATCCTCGAACTCTTGCGGCAGAAACTCCATGGAACGGTGATTGCTGGCATTAGACAGTTTATCGATATGCATTGTGCAGCTGCGGCTGGATTGCATCTTTCGCATCTGTTCCGACTGCAGCAGCGGCGTTTCCAGCGGTTCCTCTGCCTCATCGGCTAGCAAATAACTGATCTTACCATTATAGGTTCGCAAATTTGCCCATCGATAGAGTGTCCAGATGGTGAAGCGTTGGTAGCCAAACATCCGGATACACTCACTCTCAATGTCCACGTCCGAGATGAGGCCCCAGCCGATCGACAGGAACGAAAACATGACGCGGTTCTTAGCCTCCACACGCACCACGTCCATGGGCGAAGTGCGACCACTGATGGCTGTCAGAGCGGCACCTAGTACAGGATTACTGAAGTATGGTTCACTGCAAGCAGGAACAGAGATTATTAATTGTCTCAAACGGAAACACCTGCGGGTATCACCCACTCACTTGTAGCCATGCGCAATGGAGCGTGCCAGACCATTGCCAGAGCCGCAAGGAATAATGGCCAGGGCAAGGCTGTCCATCACTTGAGCCCAATCAGCGCGGCAGAGCAGTCCGTTGATTACCTCATGGAACAGTCCGTCGCCGCCAACGGCTAAAATAGTGCACCACTCGTCCAGGCGGCGAGTGCTCATAAATTCGATTGCATAGTTGGAATGCTTAGTTACAAACAAATCGTAGGGTACTTCGGCTTCGTTGAGAATCGGTGCGACACTCGTATTGAATACTTCGCGTGCATTGCCAGAGCCGGACTTAGGATTGAGGAGCACCAGGATTCGGCGACGCCGCGGCTCGCCCATACTCTCCACAAAGATGGGCTCCAGCGTTTGATGCAACTGCCAGCGCAAGGCGCGATACCAGCGATCAGCCTCTCGCATGTTATCCTCGAATGTATCAAAGGATCGAAACCGAAGCGTCAGCACTGTCCGCTCCCTGTGCAGGCTGCTGCGAAGGCTCTTCTTCTTCAGCACGTAGGCGAACAAGTACAAATAGGCGCTGCCGTCGCCTACGTCGGTCGCGTTCTCTTCCTTGCTGGCCATGCTACACTTGCTGGGCGTGCCCTTGCGACCGGAGCCCGCAGCTGGAGTGCCCGGATTGACGCAGGCGCAGCCTGCGAGATTTCGAGGCGACTTTTTCATGCGCATGCAGCGTGCTCCAATGATATCACATATTTTGACCTTTTGCTCTTTGATTATGACACCACTGGGAGATTCACGTTGCAGAGTGAATCCTGTGGCATCCAGACGCACACGAAATACGTGGCTGCCCTTGCGCTGGCTAGTGTAGAAAGTGTCAGAAACATTGTGAAGGTCATCGTCTGCCTTGTTCGGTGTGGAGATAGCGGAGTCAGTGCTCCTCTCCTGAGATTTATTCATGTTTGATAGAGATTCTCTTTAAGCAGCATTTTTTATTTACTTTAACTATTAAAACTGGGGTACTCCCAAATATGCAAGACATAAAGGTGCTATCGATAGCTATCGGTATACTGCACTAATTTTTCACAACATATTTTTGTTTTTAATTGTTTCATCACTAATAAAACACCTTTGAAAAAGTTTCTTTATATAGACACATATTTGCATTTATATAATCATTTAAAAGTGCAATTTAGATAGAAGGTATACGATTAGCCAGTTAATTACTTCAGTCAGTATATATATATTTAATTTTGGCTTAATTGTTTGCTGATATTTGTTCTTGGTAATCGATCAGCCACCACATGAAATTTAATCAACGATTTACACAATCGGTGTTGGTAAAGATTGCTAGAATTGTGCCTATCGTATCGCAATCGCACTTAACTATGCCTTTTTTGTCGCTTGCCTACACTTAGCTCAAGCATGCGGTAGTGAAGTGAATTAATTACACACTTTTCGGGTTGTCCAAACAAAATTCGAGGTAGTGCAGTGTGCTTTATGTAATTTGATGCAATTAGTTTTTGCAACACGACACACACTTCTACACACCTATAATGACTAACAGCCTAGAAATTGAGTGCTCTGCGCTGAAAGTAACGCGTCATAAAATCGAACGCGTTGGTTGCGCATATTTTAACGCACGCCGCCAAATTGGCGATGCGAACGGCGTCGAGCGCAGCGACTCTGATGAGAAATTGGCGGGCGCTGGCGAAGATGTCGACATAAGCTACCTCAAGTCCCTTGATCCCAAAGAATGGAAGGATCAGGATCATTACAGCGTTCTTGGCCTTGGAAAATTAAGGTGCGTTTATCTGTTAATGTGTGCAAACGTGTGTGGGTATGCGTTAGAGAAAGAGAAAGGGAGAGAATGCGTGTGTGTGTGAGCGTGTGCACGTGTATTAACTGTATTAACTTATTTTTCACACACATACACAGATACGAAGCAAGCGATGATGACATTCGGAAGGCCTACAGACGAATGGTGCTGCTGCATCATCCGGACAAGCGGAAAGCCAAAGGAGAGGAGGTGATTACGGATGACGACTACTTCACATGCATAACAAAGGCCTACGAAATACTTGGTTGGTAGTCGATATATCTTAATAAATAATTATGTATTAGATTTTGCAGCTGTTACAATTGAAGAAAGTATCGAGGATAAATAATAGTATCGAAGAATAGCATATGCATAGACACTTGGTGGATAGTGATATATCCAAATGACTAATTATAGTCTAGTTTACATAGTGTGTATTCTTGATGATTCGGTATATTTAAATACGTAATTGTAGCTTAAATTTGTTGTACAGCTGTTCAAATAAGCCAGATATATAATAGTGTAGAAGCAGAATAGAATATGTGCATATGAGTGGGAGATGTATGTAAGGTAGGAGATATATGTAAATAAATACTTGTGGTTTATATATTTTCAAATATGTAAGATAATAACAGTAAAAAAAAGAATATATCCTGGTGATTCGATATATCTAAAAGCAGATATATCTTAGCAAGTGTAGCGTAGAAAATATGTATACATATATATGGATGGATATTCGATATATTTAAACAAACAATTATAATTGCTTTAGCTATGTACGCGAGAAGGTAAAAATATTTTAAATAAATTATAAAGCACATAGTGGCTATGTGTGAAATATGCATATAAATATTTTATACAGAATATCATCTAGTATATACAATAGAGTCCGGTTATAACGATTCCGCTTAAAGGGGCGGCACGGCGAAAATTGTGGTCCCCAGACAACTTATATGGTTATATCGGTTTCCGGGCACAATGACGGTCTCTTCAGCGTCACTATATCTGGACTCTACTGTGTATTGTAAAGAAAACTTTTAGGGTATTTAAATGTCGTATTAATGTTACGTCACTTATTGTATTTGCTTGCTAATGTCTTATATCAATGCTAAATGTAGAGAGAGAGAGAAGTCTCACGTGAGTTGTTTTGACAATATTAATATAGATTTAAATATAAATACACATAAGTATAATTATATTAATTTGACTAATTAATACATTGAAATTTTTCTATTGCAGGCACTCCAAAAACACGCCGTAGCTACGACTCAGTGGATCCCGAATTTGACGACGGTTTTCCCTCACAATCGGATATCGATAACAACTACTTTGAATCGTTTAATAAGTATTTTAATTTGAATGCGCGTTGGAGCGAAAAGCCGAATGTGCCTCCATTTGGCGACGTGGATGCCAAGCGAGAGGATGTCGAACGGTTTTACAATTTCTGGTACGACTTCAAGTCATGGCGCGAGTTCAGCTACCTGGACGAGGAGGACAAGGAGAAGGGTCAGGATCGGGACGAGCGTCGCTGGATCGAGAAGGAGAACAAGACGGCGCGCATCAAGCGCAAAAAAGAAGAGATGACTCGTATTCGCGCCTTGGTCGACTTGGCTTACAACAACGACAAGCGAATCCAGAGATTGAAGCAAGAGGAAAAGGATCGCAAGGCGGCAGCCAAGCGAGCCAAAATGGATGCTGCGCAGGCCCAAAAGGCCGAGCAGGAGCGGGCGATACGTGAAGCGGCGCTCGCCAAAGAGAAGGCGGAGAAGGCCGAGCAGAAGCGTATCGAACAGATTCGTATTGAGCGTGAACAGCAGAAGAAGGTGCTCAAAAAGGAGCGCAAGACTCTGCGCGACAAGGTCAAGGATTGTAAGTACTATGCCAAAAATGACAAGGATCAGCTGAAGCACATGGAGGGCACAGAGAAGATATGCGAAACCTTCAACTTGGCGGAGCTACAGGCGTTGAACAAGGCCATGGAGACCAAGGGTAGGGAGTCGTTCATTGCGGCGCTGCACACCGCCGAGCAGAAGATCGCCGCCGAACTGGAGGAGCTCAACATAGCGCATCAGAAGAAGCAAGTGAACAATACGCCTAAGACGGGCGTTAAGGAGGTGAAAAAGAGCGAACTCTGGAGCAATGAGAACGTGCAGCTGTTGATCAAAGCGGTTAATCTGTTTCCCGCTGGCACTGCCCAGCGCTGGGATGTGATTGCCACGTTCATCAATCAGCACTGCAGCGGAGGCTCCAGCCCGGTAACTGCGCGCGATGTGCTCAACAAGGCGAAGGCGCTGCAGAACAGCGATCACTCCAAAAGCTCTCTCAAGACCCAGGCCAATGAAGGGGCTTTCCAGAGCTTTGAGAAATCCAAGAAGGAGGTCCAGACAACGAACGATATTACGCTAGGTGAGTCGCCGGCAGAGAGTAAAGAGAACCACAAACAGAATGGAGGCGTCAGTCAGAACAATCAGAAACAGCAGCAGCAGCGGCAGCAGCAACAGCAACAACAGGTACAGCAGCAGTCGGAGTCGAAGCAGAATGGAAGCGCTGTAGGGGCTCCAGCCAGCACGCCGGCAACCACTCCGACTACGAATGGCATCGCATCGAAGACATGGACAAAGGAAGAGCAGGCTTTGCTGGAGCAGGCCATCAAAACGTATCCGACAACAACACCGGATCGCTGGGATTGCATTGCGGCCTGCATACCCAATCGCAGTAAAAAGGATTGCTTGCGCCGTGTCAAGGAGCTTGTCGAACTCGTCAACTCGAAGAAGGAGGCTCAGGCGGCTGTCAAATGAGTTGAGCCACGTGCGTTGCCTTACGCGTTCTCCTCTGCCCTAGCTGCTGTGTCCAATATACATATTATTTAAATAAATAAACTTAAAACAGTTTTGAACGTTTAGCGAAAAGTTACATTCAGATGATTTTATGCTTTTCAAATCTATCGGAATTGCCGATTTTTTCTTGATGACTTATCGAAAAGTAAAATAAATGCAATATTATCGGAATATTTGGTATATGCTTCAATAGAATAGGTGTACAATTTCAGCTGATCTTTTACCTGAACTTTGAAATTTTTGAAAATTTTACATTCAAATGATTTTATGCATTTAAAAGCAATCAAAATTGCCAACTGATCGCTTATCGCTTATCGAAACATTTGGTATATACTATTTGTATTAAGAAAACGGATGTATATGTGGTCTTGCTGATCCTGTATATTGCAACGGAAATGCTTTTTAACAATAATACATTTTTATTGACAAAACACATGTGTCGTGTGAAAAAGCTACACCTGTCGACAGTGAAAAAAGCCGAAACTATCGATAGGGAGAGGGGAATTAAATTAATAATACTAACTATAGACCGACCGAACGATCCGGCTCGATTCTGGCCGTCGTTATGTATGATTTCTGCTGTGGGAATCCATCGTTCCGCGTCCTTTCTAAAATTTCGGTCTTATGTCTGCTCTGCTACACGCCTTCCGCCGCTCAGTTTTAAGTCGAATGCCTGCGGATTGGCCAGCGGGTCCAGGTCAGCAAAGAGATCCAACCAGGGATTGTTAGAGCTGTTATTGCTCTGCTTGGCGTTCGTTTTGGTTGAGGCAGCTGCTGCAGCGGGACAGACGCTGCTGGGCGTGGGCGTGGGCGTGGGCGGCTGCTGCTGACTAAACATGCGAGCCCAGAATTTGTTATTGTTGCTTGTGTCCAACAAGGGAGCCTCCAGCAGTGCCGGCGCCTCGATAAGTGGACTCTCTTCCAACTGCCTGGACAATTCAATGAGCAATGATTCGTTGTCACCACACGTAGTTTCGGGCGCAGCTGAGGCCGTAGACGTGGGCGTGGTCATGGGCGTTTCGTCTGTGGGCGGCTGCGACTCAGACTTTGGCTTGTCCTGGTATTCGTCCTGTAAAAAAAAAACAAAATACAATTCATATTGCCGAATATATCTTATTATATTAACATTGTACCGCAAAGAATAACGATTGGTCTTTGTCGACAGCTTCGATCGGAACTGCTTCCGGTGCGTCGGCGCCTTCGTTCTGGGACAGTTCCTTGAGCACACAGAAGTCGTATTTTGGCTTGACCACCAGCGCATTCGAAATGGTCTGAAAAGTGGATGCGGCCTTCTGGGCAAAGTTTTTCAGCTCGGCCAAGTAGGCAACCAAGGCGTGGGAATACATATTGCAGCGGGCGGCGGCCAGAAGATCAATCTGAAATGAGTTCTCAGTCAAATGGAGGAACTATCAGGTGGATCTATATGATATGGGCTACTTTTTGTATGGAGTCCATGGAGTAGCTGTCAAAGTTGTGCTTGGCAGCCCTCACATGAGCTTGGGCTGTGCGAAACTTATCTAGGCCCTTGCCAGTGTCGGGATCCATGTCCTGGCTGGCCGTGTGCTTCATCCAGGACAAGGCGGCACGGTATTCGGTGCGTTCCTTTTCCATGGTCTGTAGAGTCAGTTCAGTGTCCTTGACGGCACGGCAGCGATATACATCCACCTCATGTTGCAGTCGCAGTAGAGGAACGCGTACGCACATCCTTTGCTGCCCAGCAAAGGACATGGCCTTGCCCGTGTTTGTGATGCTGCTGCCCGTCGTCTTGCTACGTTTGCCAGCCTCTTTCAGAAAGCGCCCGAACACGCACTCCTCCTGCGACAATATGCACAGTCTTTCCTGGTATTGGTCAATGATTTTGCACAGCTCCAAGCTGGTGTCACTTATCGATTTGAAGACCTCGATTTTGGCGTCCAGCTCAGCGTCGGAGGATATTATGTGCTTGTCCTCTTTGCTGCCCAACTTGCGCTGCACAACCTTTTTGGTTATCCAGTATTGGTGTTGCACTTCCGACTTCAACATATTTTCGTATCAATTTCACTGATAGCTGAAAAAAAACTTGTGCTACAAAAAGATAAAGCTCACAGCAAACGGAACGTTATGCGCAAACGCAAAATTCTGTTAAGATAGCGTTGCCACACTGTGCAAATTAACGGGACTCGTTAAAGTTATTTGAACTATGTATATATAAAAGTTGACGGCAAATCATTCGCTATTCATGCAGTGTTTAAAATTACAAGATCATACTGAAGAATGACAAATGTATCGTATATTCGTTTCTAAATGTTATTTTGATATTTTTCGACTATATTTGTTTTCAAATAAGCTTTCAAAAACAACATAGTGGCAGTCTGGCAACGGTGAACTTAAACGCTAAAAAATACCACGTCACGTAAATAACTTTAACATCGCCTTTTCGAGTTAAACAGTGGAGTTAACAGACGTATACGAGCTGCAGCTTCGTAACTGTAACTGAGTCTTTCAAAGAGAACACGACAAGCGCTCGCCTTGCATTTTGTTGTTGCTTTCGTTTGGCGCTGCATTTAACCGTGAGCCGCACACATTTTGCATAGAACGCGCTGCGGTTCGTACCGTGTCTCTATCTTGACATTATTTTTACGTACACCAATATTTGTGCAAGTGTTTTTTTACATGTTCGCGGCGCGCGCGCCTCGTAGTGTTCCTCTGTATGTGTGCGTGTGCGTGTGAGCCAGGGCTAAAGTTCGACTTGAACTGCAATTGCAGTTGCAATTGAAAGCGACATATATCTGTCCTCATATTGCTAATTCGCCAGACAGGTAAGCTAAAGCTGCAACTAGTTACAGTTACTTTCAGCTAGCTTGTTGGGATGGATGCTGTTGCGCGCGCACTCACACACACGCACTGCAGAAGAAAGTGAACAAGTGTGTGCGAATGCTTCTGTCACTGCCGCTGCCGTTGCTCTTACCGCTGCCTGTCCACTAAAACGGGTTGAAGTTGCGGCTTTGCCACCTGCAGAAAATGACAGCGTCTGGCATCTTCACTTATTATGTGTGGGTGTGCGTAAGTGTTAAGTCAATGATTGTGTGTGTGTGTGCGTGTGTGTGTGTGATGTGTGTGTGTGTGGATTGTTTGCTTTATTATGAAGATTATGTCTGTCCGCCTGTTAACACCAACAGCGCGTGACCCGCCGCCTTGGAACACTTGAGTTTTTAAACTGATTGCAGCAACAATTAGATTCGGCTCTGCGCGCACACAAAAAAATAAAAAAAAGCCACAGCAACAACAATCAGAATCGGAATTAAAACGAAAAGGTCATCCACGGGCACTTGCTGGCCTCAGGTCTCAGTTAAAGCTTAATGGGCGCAGCGCGAGGCCTTTTACATGCCAAAAAAAAAGAAAAAAAACTGAAAGAAAAATAAAAACCAACCCAATAAGAAAAGATCTCAGACCCTCGCTCGTTATAGCCCCGTTATTGCTGTTGGTTTTTCCAGCTTCAAAGCCGCGCTCCGGCTTGCGCCTTGGGCCGGCGTCGCTGCGCAGTCGCATTTAACAATTGTTATTGAAACGAGCAACAACAACTACAGATTTCACTGCACTTGATGCTGACACACTTGTTGTGGCTACCACCGCTGTAGTTGTTGTTTTTGTTGTTGCTGCTGCAAGTGAAGCTGTTGTCAACGCCTGGTCACATTAATCAAAAGTGTTTCGATTGCATTCGATAGCAGCTGCTAGCGCGCATTATCGATAACAAAGCTCTGTTCCGTTTTTTGCTCTTTCCCTGTCGCACTCATTTTCCATATGAATAAAATCTCATGCATGCAGCAGCAACAACAACAATGTCAAGCAATCTCGGTTTGGCTTTACATTTTTCTCACAGGCCGCATTAAATATTAAAAAAAAAAAAAAAAAAAAAAATAAGAAAACTTTTTACAAATAACTGCGCATACATAATTTTTGCCACCGTTGTTGCTATTGTCGTTGTTGTTGTAGTTCTTGTTGTTGGCCGTATCAAGTTACTTTTGGTTGTTGCTCTGCTCTCATTTGCATGCAGAGTTTGTGCATAGTTGTTGTTGTTGTCGTTTTTCTACTGATTATTTTTTGTGTCGCCGCACGGCGTTGCTGCAACTAAATTGGCCTTAATTGGCTGCCTTTTTGCTGCCAATTTTTTTGTTTGTTGCCGCTGTTATCGGTCGTTGCCGGCCGGCCACTTGTGGCATGCAGCGCAAGCGGCGGCAGCAACAACTGCGGCTTATATTTGTTGTTCGATTTCACGTTTTCGTTTTTACTTTTATTGGCTGGGCTTATTTGATTTAATTAGGCGGCAGCAGCAACAGCAGCCGCAGCGGGTTTCATTATTGTTTGCAAATTGTGGGAAAAATCAGTGAGCCAAAGAGAAAAAAACGCATTTCGAGAATTTATAGCGCCTAGCTGGCTGGCTGGCTGCATTTTATAGCCGGTTGCATAATTCAACTAAGTCGCTGCCGAAACTGAGCGCAAAAACAAGCCAATAAATCAAATTGCCATTCTCAGGCTTGCGGCAACTGCTGCAACGGCTGCTGCAAGTGCAACACAACTAGCTCAACTGCGGGATACTCTATAATAAGGCAAATTGTCAGAAGTTGTTCTGATAACTGCAACGCTTGGGTTCGCCCTGCCTATTGCCTATTGCCTCATACCCCATGCTCCCCTTTATGCTAATGCTTTACAGGGTATTGCCACAGCATTTACAATAAGCGGCCCGTATTCAGAGCATGTCAATGCAGCTATCTCAAACTACTTACAGACATGTGCACTTATGTGGGCTATGGTAATGTTACCCAGCACACCTACCCCCCTTTGCCTACCCCTCCCACTCGCACTCGCACACACATACGAATGCAGCATTTACCGTTTGGCAAGGTCTGTCGAGGCAGACCAGCTGGGGCTCCGGCTTAGATTCTTGCCCACCCATTGCACAATCTCAATCTACATCTCTGTGTGTGTGCTCTGTCAATAGGCCAGTGCCTCGGTTATTGAGTCGTCTAGGAAGGTTTGTTAACTGTCATGCCCACGTGACGAGGCCAAGTGTCCAACTGGCCAAGTGGCCAAGTGTCCAAGTGTTCAAGTGGCAATTCACATTTTTATAACCACTATTCTCGGTTTTTATTTTGCATTGTCTCTGGCGCTGATTAAATTTCAATTTGCGCTGCTGCCTCGAGTGGCAGCCGTGAAGCGGAAGCTGCTGCTGTATATCAATGCGTGTTAATGAGCTGGGCAACTGATTTGACCCAATTGGCAGCCCACCGCTCGCAACACTCGCCAACACATGCACCACCCGATTGACCCACAAAAAAAAAAAAAAAAAAAAAAAAACTGAAAAAAAAAAACTGGCTGCTGGCTGCTGGCTGCTAGCTGCTGGACAGGCCCCTCTGTCTGCCCACTCCTCAGACTTAAATATAGCTATCAGCTTTAAGTGGCTGCCAGCGCCTGGCAAATTTATTGAATCTCATTGGGAGCAGCTTTCTATACTTTCTCAGTGCTCTCGAGCCGATGCGGAAGATGGAAGTGAAAAGTGCACCAAGCAAATCAAAAACCGATGCAAATCTATCGCGCTCCACTCTGCCACTGCCACTCTGCTGCTCCGCTCTTTTGCTCCACTATGATCTGGCCTGGCCTGCGCGAACATTTCAAAGGCATCTCACGGATGCGACGCGCTGCGGCTTTGCGGCCGCACAAATATTTACATGCGTTCAATATTGAGTTATACGCGATAGATTTATAGAGACATTAAAGATGTGGCCGAGGAAAAACGGAGGAAAAGTGCGTGGCTGGCGTTTTAATTAACCCATAAGCTCAACTGGCCAATTGCTTTTGACTCTGTCGGATTGCAGCCATGTTGCATGGGGGTTTCTGTTGCACATTTGCGCCATGACTTTCACTTTCAGTACAGCGAGGCATACAGGAGCCACACACACACACAGCACACACATGCATAGTCTGGGTTAATGAGGATGCCACATTGCTGCAGAGTTCGTGCCGCTTGATTATCTTGCTCTCGCTCGCTTGGCGTTGCACATTCGTCTTGCAACAAGAAGCAGAAAAAAATGAAACAAAAAACTGTGGCAGCCGCTTTCATGTAATTTATTTGTTTATTGTCTTGCCGGCCTACACCCACACCAGCAGCCGTTGTTACACTTGCACTTGCGAACGCTTTTTACCTAGCTACTTATCTACTTCTTACCTGTCCACCCGCCGCAGCCGCCACCGCCGTTGCCGCCGCCCAGCGCCCACCTTGCGGCTCGTTAGTTGAAGATGAACAAGTTTGTGTTTTTCATTTTATTTTGTATTTTTTTCTTTCGTTTTATCTTCTTCTTTTGCTCTTTTATTGCTTTGGCCAGGAAGCGAGCGATTTTTCATTGTTGTTGTTGCTGTTAGCGTCCCACTATTCTTTCGCCCGCACATGCGAGCCGCCTAATTAGCTGAGGGCTGTTGGGGCGACTGAAGAGCTCTGCCAGTCTGTCTGTCTGTCTGTCTCTATGCTGCCTTTTGCTAGTATTTGGCATCGTTTCGCTCGCTCGCTACGCTTGTTTCGCTTTCGTTCTCACAACAGTAAACGAATTTCCCAAGTTTTTCACATCCACATGAGCTCATTCGGAACTGTTTCCTGTGATTCACACACACACACACACACACTCACATGCATTTGCACAGCCTCAGCAGTGACTCCTATTTGCTGCTGCTCCTGTTGTGCACAAAGAGCTCTCGAGCTTAGCTCAGCGCATTTCCAGGAAATAACATTTCCTCTCAGTAGCCAATTGGCTTAAATTTGCTAAGATTCGTGAGTAACCAAGTTTAAAAATTCCCCTAACGAACGACCTTAATTAGATTTTAGAAAATGTTTACTAATAACTGCAAATTATTAACTATGGTTGTAAAAGAATATTAAGCTATAACTTATAATTTAATTACTTTAAAAATTGAGATCTATAAATATAA